AGCCGAACAACATCATCCGGCCTCATCTGTTCTACAAATGGCAATGTTAAAGTGAGGCTTAGTCCATGTTTACATAATACATTACTTCCTGATAGTGAACACTGTGAGGTGGTATGTCAGGTTGTGGTTTTATAGTTTCGACTCTTGTACGGTCTCTCAGTCAGTATGGAACATGATCTTCATCATGGGAAGTAAGCTAAAATAAGTAATATTATTAGAATATGATATTGACTTTAGATTACACTGTATATAGATAATAGTATGGTTAAATTATGCTTTATTACCTCTTGTGGCTGAATCCAATCAAATACTATATGAGCCAGTCTTTACTCCTGTTTGTTGGCGCCTTCAATTAAAACCCTGCATCACCTTATCATTGCAATGAATCACCCATATACGACACAAACATGCCAGTGACCAATTTGTTTGCTGGACATACTTTCAGCAACATCCTGATACATTGCTAATTGCCAGCAAGCATTGCAAATATGGTCGGTAGGAGAGATCTAGAATAAAAGGAATAAAATGATACATTATGGGTAGATAACACTATGCGCCTTCTTTTATTCAGGCAACATGGTGACTTTCGATATGTTATGGGTAAACTAGGTACTTACATCTCTAGGATAAGTCCACATTGGGATATTGTTGACCACGTCTAATCTTCACTCTCATTTTCTAGAGCATGCCGTCTCATGTGCGACAAACTCTGAATGCAATTAATACACTGTAAATTCATCATCGCGACAAATAACAACACACTGCACAAAACAATGTAAATAAGTGTCTTCGCAATTGTCACAACAATGATTCCAATAATACCAATTTGGGCTACGGAGGAACGGTTGCCAAACTCAACGTATCACCAGATGAATAAAATAACTTCAAATTCAACAAACACATCATAACATCGCATTTGAAACAAACAGCAATGCGCCAGTATTAACAAATTAATTGTCAATGTCATCAAGACAAATGCCAGTTCAACATTGCCATAATATTCAAGTTTGTTAAAATGTTAATTATCATTAATAATCCATGTAAACGTAGATTTAGATTGTATGTAGATTTTTATATTTACTTATAAAAATGTTTGAAATGGAAAGGAAAATATTTCATTGATAGATATTAAAATAAATGAGTTTATGAAATACCGAAATTCAATATGCTCTGATTTCATCTTTACGCATGGCAACTTTGTAAACGTCAATCGCGGTTCGTTTTACGTATAGTAGATTGCTTTTTATCATTATTGAATATCAGTTTTTCTAGGGTTTCCCAAGTTTTAAAAATCTATTAAATATGCTAACATAACGTACTTAGGAGGTTCTATAATGACCCAATTTTTTAATGACAAATCTTTTTTTAGCGAAGCGGTACAAAATCTGCCGTTCTCCTTTAAATAACACTGTGTTGAATCATTAGTGATTCCACTATTTTTCATCAATGTGCTGTGTACCAAATTTCAGAAAAATAAGTTTTTGCAACATCCTTGCAACTATTCGAAAATCCGTCCGATATTACCCCAAGGCACCTTAGTGTCGTGTTACAAAACGCACAGACGCGTCATGGGCACTGAATGCGTTAAGCCTTTGTCTGCAAATAAAAATGGTTGAAGGTATAGAAATACCTACTCCGCTAATGTCGGTCACCGATGACCCCGTAGCGTTTAACGTGTTAAGGTAGATACTTCTAGATAAACCAATTTGAATTTTCTTACGTTTATTTGGAATTAAGAAATCTCGATTTAGTTTTGATGGGTCTTAATTTTTAATGATTAGACTTAATTTTTACTTATAGGTATTAGGTACCTACTTAATTTTATATACTATACTTATTTTTTTTATCGCCAATGCGATTATAAAAATTAGACACAGGATTTGTATTCAATTATAGAATACATAAGTACCTAACTGGTATAATCGCCTCTAACGCAGTACGAAGTTCATCAGTACCACGTGTATACAAAAATTACAATATTAATAGTTTTCACACTGTATTAAGATAATAATGCATCTTTTTGTCAAACAAAATTGATCAATTATTCATAATATTATAGTAATTATTCGGTGTTAATAGTATTTAATTAAAAAAATAAAATATTTAATACCTAAGGTATGTATTCGTAATAATTATTATAATTGAAAGATTAGCCAGTGTTATTGCATGCTAGTTAATTTTCGTAAATTGACGGACACTTTTTTTTAAATCGATTATTTATTGAATGAAAAACAAAGCCTACGCTGGCATATTGTTTTATCATTTAGTTTTTTCCAAAAGCATTTTAGCATAGTATAATTATACTGTGATTTTAGTGACGTCTTTATTATTTTTTATGCTCATTCTTTGATACATAATTGTGTCTAATACTTATAGGCCAAGACCAATATCAATGGCGAACATGACTAAACTGGAGAATAAAGAACGGGATTTACATAAAGGAAAAAATATGTTATTGAACCACTCTATTTTTAAGTAGTTTAATTAATATACTAAAACCTTCTCCTAAGTGTAACAAACACTTTTCTGAAACTCGCATGAAAATTGGTTTGGCGAATCGCGAGATACTCGCGCACAAACATACATACATACAGGTTAAACTGAGAAACTCCTTTTTTTGAAGTCGGTCAAGATCTGGTCAAGATCCAAGCGGTCACTGGTGACCAGTCTTCCACCATTATAGACCTTATTCCCAATGTTTAGAGACTACTTTTGCACAAACAAATGTTGTGGATTTTTCATAAGTGGACATAAAAAAAGTTAAAAAGGGAATGAAATATGATTGTATGTAATATGTATTATATTTTATTTATCTTAACAATATCTTCTAATTCAGTCATTTAATTAAGTACTTACATAAAACTTAACACTACGTAAATTTACAACATGAATTATTCCACAAATTACAATTATAATTAAGTACCTTACAATACAATACATGCACCTATAATACATTTATAATAGTGTTACATAATATTTATACAAAATACAATGCAAGCGGTATTTCATTTCATGGTTTTGTGTGACGCCGTGGTATCAGTCGTCAAACCGGCCTAATTCATGCCGAAGCATGTCTCTCTCGTACAAGTACTTCCTAAGTCCTACTTTAACAAATGATACAATACCAGAACCTTAACCTAGGTATCTCTTTTGGGTATAAGAAACGCACATAATGATTATTTACAATTTATGAAGTTTAGTACACACCGCCACCGAGAATTCTAAAAATGCATAGGTGTCTATGATATTTTTTCTTTTAACTATAGTATTAAAAAATGAAAAAATAAAACAAACTATTTTCTGCCAGCCGATTTGAAGTCCTAAGGTGCTATCAGACGGTTCAATCGAATGAATATTTACCCCAGTGAATTTCATTTGTCTTTCATTCCATATTTAAACGACTTCGACATCGATTATATGTTACATTTTGATATTAGATATTTGATGATAAAATGTCAAGTTCATTTTTAAAAATGTTAACTTTATTTATTAAATGTTGCTGTACCCCTACAGGTTCCATAAATGTAATTTAGCTTTAAGCCTATTGTAACACCTTATTCACTTTATGGTATGCAAATAAATGAATATGAATATGACTTTAGTGTCAAGAAATCAAGATTCATTACTTGGATTTTAAAATATGTCACCGAATGATGTCGTGCGATCATCAATCAGACAGGATCAGTTTAATTTGTGATCATTTAATGAAATCCAAGTTAATGTTGACTCTGTGTGGAGACAGTTCATTTTTTGTTCATTAGGAGTGGGAATGAATGATACCGAATGCTTTAATCCAACATCGTTGGATCGATTTACTAATGAATTCATTCTGCACTATTGTTTCATTCTGAGTTCACACGTATCATTTTCAGTGAAAGATGCCGAATGAAAAACAAAAATGAAACGTCGGATATTGCCTTTATTTTTATTTAATCGCGTAAATAAAACAATAGCTAAGATCATAACATACCATCACGCCTTTTATCCCCGAAGGGGTAGGCAGAGGTGCACATTACAGCTCTTAATGTCACTGTACAATCTAACACCCACTTTTCACTATTTATCTTATGAGTCCCATGTAATAGGCGGTGAAGCTATTGCTATATGCCGGGCATAATTCCAGACTCGGATTTAAAAAAGAGTTTTTTTAAATCCAGTAATACATTGCCAGACCCGGGAAACGAACCCGAGATCCCTTGAGCGGCAGTCGCACTTGTGACCAGTCGGCCAACCAGGCAGTCGAAACTAAGATCAGTAAGCCAGTTATCCAGGTATTGGTGATGCCATCAATTTTAATCTTCAATTCAAAAACCAAATATTTCTAATGTTCGAATTTCAAATTTTGACCTTGAAAAGTTAAGCCGTGTTATTGCTCTCTAGACATTCGATATTGTCAGCTAATATATGATGCTAAATAACCCGAATGTAGGTAGGTATTAATACTAATTCGGTTTGTAAATAACACTTATCGAAGGCACAGCTAACGTATTAATTTCAGTTCAAAATCCGTTCAATACATGAAAAAAAAACTAAATTTGTTTACTAGTTTGTTGACTAAAAAAATACGTGTCTAATATTTTTTCATTACCTAACTGACGGACTAATTAGATTTTTAATTTTTATACCCTGTCATCATTCTTATTGTTGATCCCTGATGCTGAAATCCTGTATAAACTATCAGGATATATCTATCCTGTAAAGCCTATGTTATTCACTGAAGAGTAAGTTTTCTATGGAAACCATTTTACAAGCTGATCCTTCGGTTTGATATATTTTGGATATATCAAACCAAAGGATCAGTATCGGAGTTGATATATTCGTAACAAACAAGCAATCAAATTATCAATTTGCACCATAAGTAAACATACTGATATTGTCAACATGGCTAGATTTCTAGATCTATCTATTAGTATAGATCGGTCTACACCTGTTATTTACTTTTTAAATTATTAGGTACACAGTGTAACTTTAAAAATACATATAGTTGGTACCTAACTTATTCAAGTTCGTTGCTCAATCGTGATTTCATGTCCAGATACAGGTTTTAAGAGAAAATCGATCTTCAGTTGTAGGTTGCTGTCATCGGCCGACACCTTGAAGGATCTCAGGAAATGTACTAGCGTCGTCTTCATAGAGATCATGGCGTATGTTCTACCTGTTGAATATAAATTTTAAATGAACAAAGATATATCAATCTTGTAATTCTGGTACCAGATTTATTTCCTCTTTCGCGCATGCGTTTACAACACCACAAACATCAAACCTAGATCCAAAAACAGGGGGCTTACTCTTGAATCCAATTCCGATCGATCCACATTGGTATTGTGAAATTTCGTACTCTTGAGTTGCAACACTAGTGCCCATTGCATCCGTATTGCGTGGATATTGAATGAACTAAATCATAAATGGTATTGAGTTTGGCTTTATATTCCGTAGGTACTCCGAATGCTATTCCAATAGCTACAATTGGGGTTGTATAGTATTGACATTAAATATTTATTGAGATTTTATTGGATTGAAATGGCATTGACATTGGATTGGTTTTAAGAGTAAGCACCCTGTTTTTATATCACATTAACAGTTTGCTGTGGAAACCAAATTCGTGACACGTTTTAAAGTAGCTGGTAGCTCAGGTAATGCTACCAAGCAGTTCGACTCATTCAAACATTTATCATATCATATCAGGCAAGGACGTTGCAAAAAAGGCGCACATAATGTCACTTAGAACTGATTGAAGCACCAAAATGTCAGTGGTATATTTATGTGTGCGTGTGTAATGGGTTACCATGTTACCAGACTTAAGAAAAAGATAGATATCCTTCGTATTAATGTATTTATGTTCTGCGTGTGACTATTGGCTATGTGCAAAGCGAGTAGTGGCGGACAGACATCGACCGCCGCGCACAACACGGCAGAAATTGGAAACAAATGCGGATGATGCAAACCCGGTTTTTATTATTATATTCACTATACAGTAAAACTATTGAATAAATTGCACTTAAAAAATGTCAACAATACTATTTTAATATTTGGTTTTATTTATATTTGCAAAAAAAAATAATGTTTATTTGACAGCTTCCGCAAATGTTGTAAACGCTACGCGTCGCCACCGTCGCGCACATAGCCAATAGTAGTTAGGTGCCACAGTCGTTATTTCAAGAGATTGTGTCCGCCCTTTTTAACGTCCTTGATATCAGTTCTAAACTACGTTAATTCATCTTCATCATCATCATCAGTCGGAAGACGCCCACTTCTGGATAACAGCCTCCCCCTATGTCCTCCATAGTAAACGACAACTAGCCATTTGCATCCATTGGTTCCCCGCGACTTTGACGATCGTGAGTCGTGATGTCGTCGAATCTTATTAATTACTAGCTACTTTCGCGCGGTGTCACACACTCTGCTCAGCTTCTATTGGTCGTAGCGTTTTATAGCCTATAACCATCCTCGATAAATGTGCTATCCAACACAAAAAGGATTATTCAAATCAGACTTGTAGTTACGGAGATTAGCTCGTTCAAACAAACAAACAAAAAAACAAACTCTTTCGCTTTATATAATAGTATAAGATATAAGATAAACTATAAAAATATACGTGCCCAAACAGGATCGTTTGCCCAAGCTGAATCCGATGAAGGCACCAGGGTTGACAGGCGTGTCGGGATCCAACCATCTTTCTGGTCGGAACTGCTCCACATCTTTTCCCCAAACGGGGTCACGGTGGGCTCCAAACAACAAGATGATGCATTGACTACCTGCGCGCATCGTGTAGTTCTCTGGAAAATTATGAAGTTGATAAAACGTGCTTCAAAGCAATTCATGCTTCAAAGTCAAAGTCATAGTCAAAATCATTTATTTCAATTGGACCAGAAAGGCACTTTTGAACGTCAACAATAAAATTAAAAGTGAAGCTATTTGCTCATTCCAAGGTGTAGATTCCTATGGAGAAGAACGAGCAAGAAACTCCATAGGTTACTCTTTTTCAATCAGGTTCACAATACAATTGCTCTGCTATTTAAAATAGGTCTGGACCATTAGTTCCAATATTGATTTCGGCAAAAATAGGTCGCTAAGTTTTGATTTTCACTAAAATAGATCTACATATTTAAGCTTAAAAAAATTTAAATGTATTAAAGAAACTAGCTAACCCGGCAAACGTTATTTTGCCATATAAATAATTTTGTAGAAGGGTGAAAACTGAGGATTGTATGTAAGTATTTTTGTATGTATGTGTCATAAAAAATAGAAATTAAAAATTTTGACAAAAAAATAAAAAAAAACATCAAAATCGGTCAAGCCGTTTCGGAGGAGTTTGGCAACGAAAACTGTGACACGAGAATTTTATAGAGGTACATAAGATTTTGAATTTTCGTCAAAATTTTCGTCAATATCGTCAACAAAAAATATCGTCGTGTGGGGAATAATATTATCATTGTTTTTGTTTTTGACGAAAATTTTTACCTCTGGGGCTGAAAGATAAACCAATTTGTTTTGATATAAATATTTTCAGTTGAGTTTCTTTACGTTGAATTACAAGTCACTCCTATTGATAAAACTTGAACCAAATGGCTCCCCGCAACTCTTAATGATGCCGTTATGTTGGTCCACATAGTGGTCTACTCATTACTCCATTACCTTGCACATTCTACCCAGTCTCCGAGCGGTCACCGGTGACCTCTCTCCACTTACTTCATTATAGACCTTATGTCTGATGTTAAGAGACCACTTTTGTATGAACTAATGTTGTGGATTTTTTATGATCGGGGATTACTAAGTTAATAGTCATGCCTATTACCTACTATCACCTATCACACACGAGTAAAACCAAACTTCATAATGTATCTACTCTAACGTGACTAGACGCGGAAACCTGCTGTAATACCTAAATCTCCATAATTGGATAATCTCCAAAATGGTATAAATTGTGTTAATCATTAAATTGTTTTAAAATATTCTAAATACATATTTTGCACTCAAAAACGTGAGGCGTTACTCACGTGCTTCTACTAAGATAATATTGAGTAAAAATATCAATCAAGTTTTCGGATAACATACCTACATACATACATAACTTCACGCCCATCTCCCATGGACCTAGGCAGATACTATGGAACGCCAATTACATAATAATAAATTACATATGTTTTCGAATTTTTTTTTTTTTTTTTTTTTTTTTTGGTTGAGTTCTGCTACATGGCAATCTGTTTTTCAACAATAAGCCACTTCTTTGTCAGATTTCTCAGTTTATGTTTTCTTCAAGAGCCATATTTGTGTGAAAATTCCTTTCACACGACTCTCTTGTCGTCAAGTGGTAAAGTGGTAAATTTAATGTTTTCGAATAACAATAAAATTATGATTAGATCTTTTTAGACTTCAATGACAAATCAAATTGACTGCACGGGTGGCCCAGTGGCTGGGCAACTGCCTGCCGCGCAACGTGTCGCGAGTTCGATTCTCGCACGGAGCAATTCGTTGTGTGATCCACAGATTGTTGTTCCGGGTCTGGGTGTCATGTGTATGTGAACATGTATGTTTATAAATGCATCCACGATTCAGAAAAAACATCCTATAGTGTGTGTGGCACCGTTTATTCTAAAAAAAAAACAAAAAAATATACAACTTACTAAGTTTGACGTCCTTGTCGACGTATCTCAAGGTGACTGGACCAGTGGTGAAGACTCGGAGACTCTCTTTAATAACTGCTTCTGTGTACACCAGCTTTTGAAGATCCTCTTTATCAACATCTCTGTCTGTTGGGAATACTTGTTTGATCCTGTTCACAATGAAGACATATTATTTGTTAGCTTCTGCCCGCGGCTTCCTTCACTTTTTGTAGGAGGTTCAGGCCAGATTTACCAAAAAAATTATGCACTATTTTTTAATAGTCAACGATTCTTAGCTTTCTACCTTAAAAATTGCTGAATGTTCCATACATAAATCCACCCCATTTTAGAGAGGGAGGAAAAAAAAGGGATTTGGAGGGATAAAAAAAGATAAAAACGAGCCAATGTCACTCTTCATCCCTTCAAGTATCATCACTTAAAGAAATCACGTCAATTCGTAGCTAAATTTTGCTGTGAAAGGTGGACAAATAAACAGATACACACACTTTTACATTTAATTATAATATTCGGCACCAATTGGTTGGCTCAATCTCAAGGCTTGCAAAAGCCGGCGTGAAACAACTCTAGCTTTGCATTTTACTACGTGAGTGCGGTTGTACCGAACGAAATTCTCTGATGTTGTCTATAAGCGGCGAGGTCTATCAATTGCCGCCCTATCTTATAAAATATCTATAAATACTTAGGTATAAGAGACTCACTCTTGATATATCTTCTCCTGTATTTCAGGATGGGTTCCCAGCAGTATCATGATGTAACTGAGTAAGCTCGAAGTCGTGTCGAAGCCAGTCACGATAGCTGTGTCTACCTCTTCTCTGATCTCCTTGTCAGACAATGCATTGTCGTCTGATAACTCCAACAGAAGGTCCAGGAATGGCTTGTATTTTGTATCTGAATAAGCAAAAAGATAAAAACAAGCTCTTCAGATTTACTTATTTATAAAGTATGTTTGATATATTACATAATATAACATCACGCCTTTTATACTCGGTAGGCAGAGGTGCACATTACGGCACTTAATGCCATTGTACAATGTAACACCCACTTTTCACTATTTATGAGCCTCATGTAATAGAGGGTAAGCCTATTGCCATATACCAAACTCCGCCAATTCCAGACTCCTTGCTACTACTGCGAATTTTATTTTTAAAAAGCACAGAAATACTTTAACCGACCCGGGAATCGAACTTGAGAACCCTTGCGATTACTCGGCTAACTTGATATATAGAATAGATAAATCGATCTTTGAGCGTAGTATATTACACATAGCATATTCGTAGCATCCAGCGTAGCGCCTATGCCTACGCATTACGCAACGTTAGTGTAGCTGTATTTATTACAAAAACGTTTATGAAATGTATACCCGTTTTCGTCAACCTCTCCCAAATTATAAGAAACTCATAAGGTCTACCTTAACCGACATTTAATGAATTCGATTTTCACCAACCTATAAGTGACACCTAATATTACAGGTAAGTGTTTAGTGTTGGTTCCTTAACCTCGCTTTTTTATTTTTAGTTTTAACTAAAATTAGTGAGGTAAGTTGGTTAAGAAATCCTTTTATTATTATGCAGTTACTTACAAAAAAATATATACAGTTAATAGTGTGCGATATGGTCTAGAACTTTATCTAAAAACAAACATATTATTAATTAAAATATCCGTACTGAATTTTAACCTTACATTGTACAGTGGCATTAAGTACTGTAATGTGAACCTCTGCCTACCCTTTCGTGGATAAAAGGCGTGATGTTATATTATGTTATGTGACTTTTAACCTTCTTATATCGAATGTTATCACTGAACATAATTATTTTTTGAAAACTGTGGAGCATCTATTACCAATGTAATCTATACTGCCTTCGCTATACGGCTCAGGAATTAAGTGCTTACCTGAAGTGTATTCAGTACCGTTGAGTCTCGCTGCTTTCTTCATTTGTATCACCTTAAAAGAAATCAAAAATGTTTATACAATAGTAAGCATAAGCCCATTTTTAATGGGGGAAAATCATCCAATGACTTCTCCCGCCTGGGTGAGGCGGGGTACCTTTTTTTTTTAAAACGTTGCCCCACACTTGGATTTTCTCCTGTGTCGTGGGTGCGTTTACAACCATGTAATATCACATACACATGACACCCAGACTCGGAACAACAATCAGATCACACAAAGAGTTGTTCAGTGCGGGAATCGAACCCGCGACACGTTGCGCGGCAACAGTTCTTCTCTGCTTTTTGTTTTTCTTTTATTCCCGCTCAAAAAAAAAAAAAAAAATAAATAATAGACCAGAATTAAGCTTGATTACTAATCCTTGTTTAAAAAAATGAAACTAACAAGTCTATCAATATATGTTAGTATTAATTGTGACGCACAAAGTTTCAATAATCTTGAAATAAATGGCTTAATCTTAAAATTTATTGACCATATCTGTTAATTTTAATTAATTACATTCATACTTAATGCTTTCGAATTGATTTTTTGATTGGTATTCTAAAAAATAGCCTGCGTAGAAGGTATTCCGACAACATTTGCAACTAGGAACTGATCGAAAATAGATACTTTAAAAGTCAGTTATGGGTCATACGCATCATAAATGATAATAATTTTTGTTCGAAAAACGTGTATGTTTTTTGTTTTTTGGATCCCGAGACTGCTGATGTAGGTGGAGGAAAATAGTACAAAAATGTTGAAGAACAAATAATTTTGGCTGACTTAGAAATGTAGTTTATAAGGTCATGGATCACTGTAACGCTTGCAAGCACTCAACCAATAATGCAGTAAGTTTAAGAAAGCTTGGGATAGCCATGCTTCGGCACGAATGGACCGGCGGTGAGTGATTCTACGGCCTCATAGAAAATCGACGTGAAACAACGCTTTCATTGTGTTTTGTCGCGTGAGTGAAATTACCAGAGGCCCAACCCCCCCCTTCCCCAATCTCCCTAATCCCTGAAACCGCTACAATCCTCAAATTCCTAATCCCTAAAAGGCCGGTAACGCAACGGTAACGCCTCTGGTGTTCCAGTTGTCCATGGGCGACGCCGATTGCTTACCATCAGGTGATCCGTACGCTCGTTTACCGAATTATCCCATAAAAAATAAAACAAAACATCCCTATCTTACCTTATTAGACATATCATTGACAATCTTTACAACTTCATCTAGGCGTTTTTGATAGCCACACAATTGGAATATTAGTTGACTTTGGAGCCAAAATTTCTGGAACCTTCGAGTTACAATATTCAAGATCTCATCTACAGCTTGCATATATTTCTGAATGAACTGTTTGTCTTCGAAACCGTTTGTGAAACCGAATGCAGTTACTGAAACAAAATAGCCTGATTAGAAGGATAAAGAAAGAAAAAAAGCATTGACATTAATAGACTAGTCGACCAGCAAACTTTAACTTTAAGCAAATTTAAAATGCTTTTTGTGCCTTCTTAAACCTTCTCTGGATTTCCACAAAAATTTCAAGACCATAAATAAAAATATAATAAATAAAAATAAATATTCTATTTTAGTTATAGGTACTATAAATAGATAGATTTATTATAAATAGATTTTTCGAAGGCTATAGTTTCATTTGTTGATCAAGAAATTAATGGTGCTGATGATTCGTGGTTACTCAAAATAGTGTAATAGTTTATTATGTTATGAGTTAAACGTTCATATATAAAAAAAGCCTTTAAACATTTACATATATAGAGGTATACTAGCTTCATAAACGCAAAGTCGCATGTTTCATAGTGTAAAGAATGATCGAATAACATGTTTAACTCATCACTTAGGAAGTATCAGTACGAAACAATTTTATTCATAAAAGTGTGATAAACATAAAATGCGCACATTGAAGCTAATAGTATTTTTCCTTATTTGTCTAGCTTGCGAGGCATCTAGACATTTTTTATATTTGTGTATCATTTAGCGATACTATGTAAAAAAATACCTCTACAAAAGTAAAGATTGTCTCGTTTGTTGTTTAATCAGATATAAACGTGACTATCAAAGGTTGAAGAAATAATTATTTTGCGTTTTTCGATTTTCCAAAAAAAATTGTATAGCATGGAGTCTAGAATTGTATCGGGTATATTGTAATAGGCTAATATGAGACTTGATAAGACTCCTAACACAATTAGTGAGTAATAGGTAGGATAAGCTGCACCTTTGACTATTCTATTGGAAGCAAAGTATAACAGCTCACACATCTGGCGGCGAATAGCAAAAGTATTAGACATATTAATCTGACGAAACGAAATTAGCTAATTTGCTTGTTTGTAAACATATTTAATTATTAAAATGGAAGATGAATATGTAACAATGCGTCAACACAAAATTATTGGAAATAACTCACTAGACATTTCTTTCGAGTCAACAAATTCCGAAATGATTAGAAGACATAGTTTACCGGACTTGTCGACTGCCTATGACAGTGATATCGAAGATCTAAAAGGAAAAATAATTCAGTTGAAAAGTGAGCTAGACAGTGCTCACTTAGAAATAGAAAAACTTAACTTAGATAACATGACTCTAAAAATCGCTTTGAAAAAAGAAAGGAATAAATCTAGAAATTTAAGAGAAATATGCTCAGAAACGAAAATTAAAACAATAAATAATAAGAAAAATGAAAGTAAAGTAAAGAAAATTATATCAAGAAACCTAGATCTATCTTTGAATGAAATAAATAATAGTTGCATGGATCTTGGGCTCAATGAAACTAGTGAAGTGATAACAGATGGCACCATCGGCAGCTTATCACCATTTATTTTAAAGCGACAAGATAAAATTTGCTATGACACTCCTGCGCACAACGAAAGTGAAGACGAAAAACATCCAATAGGTGGCGCCACTGGTACCATATTAGAACGACCCGTAAAGGTACGTCAGCAGCAACTTTGTCTAATTAGTAGTAATAAAACTAATAAGTTATTAGCTATAGCACAGAGTACATTTCCAAATCATCATATTTGTCACTACATATCAACCAATTGTGGAGTTAACCAGTTGCTAGCTAATTTAGAACAAAAACTGTTAACATACACTAAGAATGATTATTGTATGGTTTTTATTGGTGAGAAAGATTTTAGAAAAACATACAATTACTTTGAATTAATAATTAGTATAAGAGATGTATTAATGACAATGAACCACACAAATATTTTGCTATGTTTACCTACCTACAAATTTGATGGATATTCTTGGATGTTTAACTCCAGAGTAGAAACATTTAGTAATTTATTGTATCGTGACATTTGTATTCATAAGTATGCAATGCTATTTGATTCGAATTTAAATTTGAGATATGATGAGACAATGTTTTATAGCGCCGTGGGGTTCTCAATAACTTTGGTATGAAAATTGTTTTTGACAATCTAAAGAGCTATATTGACATTTTAATAGACCATTGCCCTGTACCTAGGGAACATTCATATTCAGAAAGCCCTGTCAGTTTGGACAGGAAACAGTTTTTTCGTCCCTAAAAATAAGAGTACTAAAAGAAAAAAATATGTTAAGGTTGAAACTTCTAACCATACAGTACGACTGTTGCACCAAAACATTGCAGGGTTGTTGAACAAACTTTCTATGATTGAAATATGTTTAACTGAATTTAAAGACAGTCATAAAGAGGTAGACATATTATGTTTTTCAGAGACATTTATTAGTAATAATAATGAATTAAATGTATGCATTAACGAGTTCATACTTGCAACTTCATACTCACGAAAGACTGAAAAGAGAGGAGGAGTTTGTATTTTGATCAAACAGTTCTTAGAATACAAGATAATACAGTTATGTACAGATATAGCAATAGAAAAAATATTCGAATGTTGTGGCATAGAAATACCCATTTATAATTGTATTATTGTATGTTTATACAGGACACCTAATGCAAACATCACTATATTTTTTAATAAACTCGAGGTTTTGTTACATAATTTAAGTGACGGTAAAAACAAAAACATTATACTCGTTGGAGATCTTAACATTAATACCCTTACTATGAACAAAAATGCCACAATACTAAAAGACATTCTTTTGAATTATAACTTGACCTTAAAGATAAATACTCCGACTCGACACAATTCTTGTATTGACCACATCATCACTAACATGCCGTACTCGGCAGGTGAAACATGTGAATTACATCTGTCGGACCATAATACTGCTCAGATTTTGACATTCACACGAAACTTATCAATAAACAAGCCTGCTCCATCACATGTTTTTATGTACAAGACGAATTATAACGAAGAGTACATTGGAAAATTTAAAGAATGTCTCTTCAGCCTGAAATGGCAGGGTATTTATGATGAGATAGATCCTAACGTGGCTTTTGACAATTTCCATGAAATTTTTTGCCTCTTATATAGACTAAATTTCCCATTGCAAAAAAATTAAAATAAACTACCAGACATCTAAATTAAAGTGGTTAACTAAAGGTATAAAAAAATCTTGCCTTACGAAACGAAATCTTAAATCAAAATATCACAAAAATAAATCTATGGAAAATAAATCAGTTTATAATAATTATGCTAAAATATTAAAAACATGTATTAACTCATCAAGAAAGCAAACTTCTAATAAATATATTTTGAACGCTAAAAACAAATGTAACGCGACATGGAAATTAATAAAAAATAAACCTAAATGTAACAAAACACGATATATAGAGACAATTAAACTAAATGGCAATTTGATAGAGAAACCTGAAGAAATTGCAGAAGCCTTCAATAATCATTTCATTGATACGACAAATATAGATATACATAATAAAACCTAATATCATAAAAAACACGAACAGTGAAAGTAATAGTTTATATCTCGAACCTTGTACGCCCTATGAAATAAATAAAATAATTGCAACACTAAACAATACTAACGCAGTGGGATATGATAACATTTCCACCCACATAATAAAGTCATGTGCCGAACTATTGGCCCCTATTATTTCTCATCTTATAAATTTAAGTTTCTATGAAGAAAAATACCCAAACAAATTAAAGTTCTCAGTTGTAAAGCCATTGTATAAAAATAAAAATAAAAACGACATAAACAACTATCGTCCGGTGACATTAATACCTATAATTGCAAAGATATACGAAAAAGCAATGTACAATCGTATTATCTCGTTTATATCTAAATACAATATAATAAGTACCGAACAAAACGGTTTTCAAAGAGGAAAATCGACCACACTAGCTTGTTTTCAATTATTAAAATTTATTACTGAGAACGTAGATAGGAAGATACCGGTCACTGCAATATTCTTTGACATGAGCAAAGCTTTTGATTTTGTGAAGCATAGTATACTGTTGGATAAATGTGAGAATTACGGGATAAGAGGAAAGGCACTAAATTGGATAAAAGATTACCTAACTAATAGACAACAACGGGTTGAAATATTAGGTATTAATAAAGACAGAGAGGAGATAAAGTATGAATCACAATATAGACCTAATAAATATGGTGTGCCTCAAGGTAGTATTTTGGGACCCTTGCTTTTTCTTCTATATATAAATGATTTACCAACAGTGACCAACAATAAGTGTTGTTGTTTGCAGACGATATTTCAGTGTTAGTTAATAGAGACAATAATGAACAACTTGAAGATAGAGTAAATTCTGCAATAAAAACTATAATAGAATGGCTAGAACAGAATAATTTGAATGTGAATGTTTCCAAGACAAAATATATTAATTTTGGTAATTACAAAATGACTAGTGAATTAATGAACGTGGTTGGGGGTGATAATGAAATTGAAGAAGTTGACTACACAAAATTTTTAGGTATAGTTATTGACAGAAATTGCAATTGGAAAAAACACATAGAAAGCGTATGTAATAGACTAACAGCTTTGCATTTGCGCTAAGAAATCTTAGGGTATCTGTTGGACCTAATGCCGCTCTATTGGCTTATCATGGATACGTCTCTTCGGTGCTTAGATACGGCATAATCATTTGGGGTAACTCCACTGATTACAATAGGGCTTTTGTGGTGCAAAAGAAGTGTTTGCGAGCTGTATTTGGTGCTGGTCCACTGGAATCGTGCAGGCCTATTTTTAAAGATAATAAAAATTAACTTTGGCCTCATTGTATGTGCTAGAAATGGGAGTATTTGTAAAGAAGCACCCTCATTTATTTAGTACAGCCGATAGCGACAATAGATATAGCTAGGCAAAATGTCAAGAGATCCTACAAAACTGACAGTGCCGAGATGTAGAACAGCATACTGTCATAATAACACAGGTCAAATGGCAATTAAGATTTTTAATATCATACCAAAGGTTGTTAGAGAGCTCCATTCGCCTATTTCGAAGGCATCTCAAAGTATGGCTTCTTGAAAATTGCTTTTATACTGTTAAAGTTTGTGAATACAGGAACAAATAGGAAACATGAATGAAGATTTTTTTAGACATATTACCTGACATTTGAATTTGTACGTTTTTTTTAATTTATTGACATTGTTAATTGATTTATTGACATCTGTTTGATTATTATTGTTCTATTGACATTGTAATTCATTCATTGAAGCCTAAAATTTTTGTTTTTGACATTTTTAATAACTCTGGATTTCAATTTGAGAATTTAATTTATTAATTATTTCTATTTCTCCGCTTTTTCAATTATTGATATTCAACAACATTGTAGTTTAATTTTATTTTGTTTTGAATTGGAGTCATTATTGATTATTAGAAATTGTAACTTAGTTTGTCGTACTTTGATTTGGAATCATTAGCAAGGGTTGTGTTTTGATTGTTTGTTCTAACTTAGAATCATTTTTGAAAATCGCGATTTAGTTTTGTTAAAATATTTGCATGCCAAATTTATAGGCGAGATATGATGAACTATTGTTATGTCATAAAATCTGTAAACCACCATATTTCAGGCAAATAAATGAATCTATCTATCTATCTATCTATCTATAGGACCCACTTAGTTTTTAGTCACATATCCGTGGTGCTTGGCGACTGGGCTTCTCCCAGTTGTACAGTCTCTTTTTGTGCCTTTAGGCTTAATTCATTCTGTCTCCTACAGTAATACATCGACGGAAGTTGAAACTATCGTTTTTTTCTTCTCCTCTTATAATATCTTCTCGTTCACTAAGTTGCGGGAACCAGGACAGTTATTCATGTGCCTGGGACGCGCCGGACTACAGTGTTCCGGTTTTTTCATGATTGTATCTACTGTAGACCCTAGTTTACAGGAATTAGGAAGTTTGGGAGGATGTGGCAGGCTTGTCCCATTGAAAAATATATTCCGTCGGGGATTAAAAGGCGTGACGTCATCACCATTTCGTTACAGTCCACTGCTGTACTATGTATCTATTCTGCACAAGATAGGTTGGCCATAGTCACTTTGCTTGGCGGGCATGGTAGAAAGTAGGTTCAAAAAGGTTCAAGTTTAGCAGAAAGCAGTGCTGCCCGGTCACTATTCATCAACATTCGTCATCATTGGAGAAGGAATGAGCATTAACCTCTTACGTATGAGACATAATAGAATACGCATAGTGTCTCGCGTACATCACGGATCACGGGTTAATCATCACGCTTGCTCAATAGCGGGTCAGCGATTTTAAATTTGTCATTAGAAATTGCAAGACCATATTTTCCATAATGTTTAACTTCACCGTCTTTCAGTAATCATAACATCACGCCTTTTATCCCCGAAGGGGTAAGCAGAGGTGCACATTACGACACTGAAAGCCACTGTACAATGTAACATCTACTTTTCACTATTTATGTTATGAGTCCCATATAACATTGGGTGAGCCTATTATTACCATATATCGGGTACAATTCCAGATTTCGTGTTACTACAGAGAATTATTGAAAAACCTAATAATACTTTGCCCGACCCGGGAATCGAAACCGAGATGCCTTGCCCAGCAGTCGCACTTGGGACCAGTCGGCCAACGAGGCAGTCATTAGTATCTAAGTATAATCTTAAAAAGTCTTTGTATGTACTTACAGCAAAACGTCTGCAAAGCGTTGTTCCTCAAATAATCAGTGTGATCGAATTTTCCTTTACCAACTCTAGTTTTTAAATTCTCAACCAGCATTCGTGATTGGCTGTTGAACACTTCTAGAAAGCTGAGCATCACCGGTAGACTGAAGGCAGGAGTCAACAGCTTGCGATGACGTTTCCATATCTCACCTTGATAAAGAAACAGAAGAAATTAATTAATTGGGGTTTTTTTCACTTGCTTCATTAAAACTGTTTTCAGAAAATATTAGGAGTAGAGTCGATACCAGAAGGCTACGATGCAATGTATGCAATCATATATTATAATTAAATCTGTGATAGTTAGGTATACTATTATATATATACATTAATATATATTATATATAGGTCTGTGACGGCCTTACAATTAGTCTTAGATTTGACAATTCTTTGTTTATTCTATAAATTGTTGTTTCGAATGCAACCACGGAACAACAATTGTCATACCCACGTATGATAAACTGATACATATGATAAATATTATGAGTATGTAAACGCATCTACCACACAGAATAAGATCGGAATAAGGTATAGGTGTGAATCTTTTTAATGAATAAGATAAATAATTATTGGAAACGTAGTAATTACAATGCAATGACTGTACAGTTAGCTCGTTGGCCGGTTAACTGGCTGCTGGGCAGCATGTATCGGGTCCGATTCTCGAACGAAGCAACATTTTGTGTGACCTACAAATGGTTTTCAGGCCTGTACTTGTATGTATGTAAACGTGCCCATAACACTGGAGTAATTCCTAGAATGGGTCCACGTTTTTTAAACAGTTGTCTAAAGGGCCTCTGCGCAGTTGGCTTCGGACCTTCGCACGCCTCCTAAATGACCGGGACCCTGCAGTCCCGTGAATGGTAACGACACACATATAATAATGATAGTAATCGAGTATTTTGTACAAAAACAAACCAAAAGTGCTCTGAAACTTTATGAAAATTATACTAACCTGAAGATGTGATCAATCCTTCTCCCAACCAAGGCTTGGCATAATCATAAGTAAAGTGCTTCTGTAGGCAAGCATTCGCAGCTGTCAATGCGTCTTCAGGATCAGTGATTGCTGAGATAGAGATAAAAAGATTTAAATACCTACTAATATAAATTAATTGCCATTCAATTCAAAAAATTTGATTCATTTCAATTTTCCAAAATTCTCAGTAGTAGATAAGGCCCCATAAAAGGTAGAATCTACTCCAAATCTGATCACCATTACATAATTAGTCCAAGTTTACTCTAATAATCCGTCATAATTATTGTTATTTTGTAATTACCCGTACGGACAAGCCCGCCACAACCTCCCAAAACCGCTGCAACTCCTGTAAGCCAGGATCTACAGTAGCTACAACCATGAAAACACCAGAACACTGAAGTCCGGCGCGTCCCAGGGACACGAGTAACTGTCTTGGTTCCCGCAACGAAGTGAATCAGAAGATATTATAGGAGAATTGTAATTACCCGTAGGTAAAGGTATTGTTTTTCGGTAGTATCTTGTATGTATGAATATTTGTATGAGTGTACTTACCGTAATATATTCGGTATCCCAAAATCAGAACTAGAACTCCGCCTTTTTCCATGGCTTTCATGGCAACAACTTTTGCAAAATTCCATAAATCTGTTAAACAAAGAATTAATATTATGTTTACTATTAATTTGAATAAATTATAGATCATAAGTAATATATACAAATGTTAGGTCTCGAACATAATCGCTATTAGCTACATGTATTGTTAACTTATTTTATGAAAAACGTCAGTTCAATTTTCAGTAACTGTAAACTGACCACTAAACAAGTGACTAATTTTGAACAAAATATTTCAATGTTTTAAAATAAAAATATTTGTAATTAGAATTTGTTCTAAGCCTAAAATAGAATAACAATTTCATAGGGTAAATATATAATATTTAGAGAGTTATCTCAGTTTTTTCAGTAGGTATACGGGCATTCTAAAACACTACTCGAATTATTTTTTTTATAAATATTTCAAAGAAAACAAAATTTGTTTTGTATGCAAAACTCATGAAAAATCAGTACTTACAAACTCCGTCACCTATTAAGAGGTGCAAATGTCCAATAATTGGTATATGCCCAGGGTACATAGGGGGCAGTTTGTGTTTACTACCCACAATAAACACAAGCCACGCCCATATTGCGCAGAGGCACATTAAAACACAAAATAACAATACACCAATCATCTCGTCTGAATATCTGTCAAGAATTGAACAAACTGCAAACTTAAGCTCAAATTATATATATATAGAGGACACCGCCTTCGGCAAAACTGTCTTCATGACCAAAAATGAAAGGTTTGTCCGTCAGTATGTCATTCTGAATAGTGTTCACTTGTTATCAATTTGTGGAGATGTGGCAATGAATTGACAATATCTTTTTTACTGGTAGTATTATTTTTTTATATGTTATATAAATATATGACTATAAGTTAAAGTACGCTGATTTAGAGTATGTTCTCTTGTAAATATTTTTTATTATTTCATACCACGACTACTAAAATACAATCGTTTCTTTTTTAAAAAGCAGACTCGCTTTGGAATTATAATTCAAAAATATTTAAATGCAATCATTTGAAACTTTTTGTATTTGCCCCTCATTTGAATAAATAAAATTATCATTTTTGTTTATGTACCTACATAATTTAATAAAAACCTAAATGAATTTAATACTAACTATTACTAAATTTAATATATACAACATAAGATAAAAAGTAATTAAAATAAAACTAAAAACAACTATTTACATAAAGCATCGAAAAATTCGTCCGCATGGATGTCAGTGGGGAAAGTACCCAGAAGGCTGGCAGCATTGCCACGTTGTATGGCATCTGACCGAAAAAAAGACCAGCCCTCTGGTCACGAGATGCGTCAACCAGGCGATTCGATATTTTTTATAATATGTTTTTTAATAATTTAAGCACACTCGGACCCCACGGACCTAACGTCTCAAAATTTATCTCATTATTTTTGAAAATCGAATTAATTATTATAGTCTTTTTTTACAAGAAAACATTTACTAAGGACAGTTCCTTAGTAATATTATAGCATTAAGGTCAGGGCTTCAGGCAGTTGGTAGAAAACACATTATTATATTTTTATAGGCGATTGTAAACCCACTTCATCATCAATCATTTTTATATGATGTCGATAAATTGTAAAAATCGCGAGTAAAGTTGAAGATATAAATGCTATGTAGGTAAATAAAATTGCTTTAAACAGCATACAATTTGTATGAATATGTATGTAAATTATTGTATAGAAGTTTGTGTCGATTTTTAAATTATTTTGCGTGAAATCGAATTAATATACCTACGTATTGGTGTTGGGTAAAAAATTGTTTTGCTACATGTCATGTTTAAAGACTAGTTGTGCGCGTAACGTTGTTCGTTTGCCCTCTAAAAATGACCCATGAAGGTAGGCCATCATACAAAATTTGACTTAAAATACATTGAATGGATTTAAAAAAAATACGAATAGGGTAGATGCCTATTTTTTATTTTAATGTCCGTCGGTAGATTATTTTAAATCATTAGATACGTATTTATTATTTTCTTACAAAAACGAGTACTTTCTACGATACATTGATTTGAAATGTCGCTGTCACTTCTATGTACATTTTATACGTAGAAATGACGTTTATATAGCCCCCACTCCTAAACTTTGATGCGTTTTTTCTAAGTATTGTTTTATTATACGACTAAATAAAAAAATATGTGGTAATATTATTTAATTACCTAACTTACAAACTAATTCGATTTTTAATTTTCATACCCTGCCATCATCCCGATTCTTAATTAGGAAAAAAGACGTTAAAATAAAAAACCACAATAAATACTAATGACCTAATTAACATTAAGATATTAAGATTTTATTAATTTCAACGTCAAGCAAATCCAATAAAGAAGCATTTTTATTACAGAGTTAACAAGATAGCCACTATTTTTAGAATCGGTCAAAAATGTACACAAAGCGATGCACCCGGCTTCACACATGCGTTTATTTTCAACTTACCCGATGAAAATAAATAAGTTGTTACTAAGTTCATTTGAGCAGTAATTCACCGAGGGAAGTGGAAACTATCGTTTTTTTCTTCTCCTCTTATAATATCTTCTGATTCACTTCGTTGCGGGAACCAAGACAGTTATTCATGTCCCTGGGACGCGTCGGACTTCAGTGTTCCGGTGTTTTCATAGTTGTATCTACTGTAGATCCTGGCTTACAGGAGTTGCAGTGGTTTTGGGAGATTGCGGTGGGCTTGTCCCATAAAAAAAAGTTAATTTGAGTAAGCGTTAATTATTTCATTTAATCTATTCATAATCTTAGGATGAACATCGATTTTTGATATTTAATTCAGAAAACTGGATCGATTTTCTTTATACCTTCCATCTCTTGCTCCACCTTTAAACCAATCTACTGATTGGCCTACACCTTTAAATAATCAATAGAGACCAATTAGATGTAAGTATTTTGAATAGGATTGTGCGGAATTCTGGCGGGATTATCTCTGTTTATAGATGAGAACAATATTCCATAATAATGTAGTTGAGCTTGTGCTCTTAAAACAGTATACCCGGAATGCAATACTACTTCGATCTTCGATTCGCTTTTCAGATGTTGATGTAACCTTGTAGGTAGATAACCACGAAGTTGAAATTAGCTCGACTAATTTTCTTTTATTAAAAACTAGTTGACCCTGCGAACTTCGTACCGCCTAACGGTCTACCGTCAATTAATATCGTGTTACCTTTTAGCTGAACTAATTTAGGCTTTGATAAACGTAATAACGGGTTACCGGGGTACCGGCTCGACGTGCAGGAGAAGGAACGGGGTAGTTTTTAGTAAGTAAGAGTCTGACACTCCCTCCCGCTTCACCCAGGCGGGAGCAGTCATTCGATGATTTTCCCCCCTTAAAAAAATACTATGATATAATATAAATATGAACATAGATAGATATATAAAATTATTTTATTATTATGAACAATACATACAGAAAGAGAATAAAAATAAACATTAAGTACTTCAAACACGTGTAAGTTTTTTTATTAAATTAAAGTATGTTGTGTAGCGTGTGATGCACTCGGATTAACTCTGTTCATTCAAGCACCTTGTGGTAAACGACATTCTTTGTCTTTTTGTCGGATGAACTCAGGTCCAGGCATCCGCTTTGTTTGTTCTAGCGCCTGATGTCAGTATCTGACACTCTCTCCAGCCTCACCCAGACGGGAGAAGCCATTTGATTATTTTTCGTATTTTTCGCCTTAAAAAGAAGATGTTCTCTAGCTGTTAACATATTTGGTTAGGTCGAGCTGTAAGTTCGTTATATGGGTGCTCGACGCACCCACGTCCATCACAGTTAGGACTGCTGCTCTTTGGAAGCTATCACAGTCATGGTTCACTGTACCAAAAACGTAATATGCAATAAATTGTGTCCCAGGGTTCCCTATTTATCTACATATTTTATTAGGTCGAGCTGTAAGTAATACATGTATGGTCGTCGTGCTCACGTACGCCAGATTGCCAGATTGGATTACTAAGTACTGTTCAGTATTTTGCCCACTGTCCAGTACTACTAGTTTTTTAGAAGTTCATTAAAACTAGAATGTAAGCGCTTAAATATTGACATTCTTACCTATGCGTTTATATGAAAGAAAACTGGATATAATTGGTTCTTAGATTTTTTAACGACTTGACGACTAAAGGTCAAGAGGCCGGTTCCATTTTGTTTTGACCTGTGTGCGGTTTTGCACTAGTATGTCAAGATGTTTATAAATTAAGTATTCAAGTGAAGTACACAATAACAATAAGTCAGAATGAGTGGAGAGATATTTGTGTAACCCATAATGAATCACAGTTAATTTAATAAAGAGGATAAATTTGATTGCTATTTTATTTTATAACATGAATAGGGTTTTATTTAAGGGGTAAATCATCGAATGACTGCTCCCGCCTGGGCGAGGCGGGAGGGAGTGTCAGACTCTTACTGACTAAAAACCACCCCGTTCCTTCTCCTGTACGTCGAGCCGGAGCCCCGGTAACCCGTTAGGTTCTCCGCGATAGAAGTAATGTTTTAATAGACATCAAGTTTGGCATAGTATAGTATATATGGCATCCGCATAACATAATCTAGTAGCCTAGTATAGATGTTTGGACACTATCTTACCGGGTAAAGCGCTTATAAAAACACGAGTGACGCTGATCGAAGCTACTAATCGGATTTTGACGCAGAGATAGATTACTTATAGCCTGGAAAAACATACATAATTATTATAGTACTTTTTATCATGGTAGTGCAGACGAAACCGTAGCTGAAGTTATGTTATAGTTTTAACATTTTGCGGTTTGGTAATGAATCATAATCTACTTATTTACAAAAATATGGCGACTGGTTGAAGTGACTGTTGTATCTAGAAGATTTTAAAGTGGGGTCATTGGACCAGTGTGGGAGAGAGAGAGAGAAAGTGTGACGACAGAAGCAGTGTAAGCAGACATGCATTAATTTAAATGTAACACCCACTCATGAGTCTCATGTTGACTAAATTCATAATTTGAGTTACGCCTCTTCTGGTCGATAACCTAGGGGTTGAGTGAAACACGGCGTTCGGATAACGGATTCGCGTAAACCCTCAAGAGGGCCGTTGACTCACCATTCCTCACAACCTTACGCTCTCATACATTTTTGCTTGTCTACAAGTTCCTTAACTGATCCATTCAGCGAACCCAAATACCCTTTCATGTACTGACGGTGAACACTGGGGTGCTTTTATTGAATCAGCAGGTACCCACCCCACACTCCCTAGTCCTTATCTCCAAGTGTTTTTGAAAGTGTCCCCCAAAAATGAAACAGGCAAAGGCTGGATTTTGTATAGTCTTCTACAATCTAAAACTACTGCAAACATTTTGCGACAGTTTGACCGGCGAAATAATCGAAAGTAAATACAGGATGAATAGAATTCGTGGGCGATAATTCAAACTAAGGTGGCGCTGCTTGCGAAAATTTAATTATCACCTTCGTATACAGTATAAATTGAGTTAGTATCTTTATACTAATATTAAATATTGCAAGTCCAAAATACTTTTTGATAAAAAGAATTTTGAATAGTGTCATTTAAAGGAGATTGGACATTGTACCTACTATCGACTTTGATACAGTTGGCGCTTGGCGGCAGACACTATCTGTTACAACTATATCTATATAAATTATCTGTACATAAACAGACTGTCCGTCGGCCAAGTGTTCGCAAGTACGACTGCACGGCACGACAAGGGGTTTAAAAAAATTCTCAGTAGTAGCACGGAGTCTGGAATTGTGCCCGGTATATGGCAATAGGCTCACCCCCTATTACATGGGACTCATAACATTAATAGTGAAAAGTGACTGTTACATTGTACAGTGGCATTTAAGTGCCGTAATGTGCACCTCAGCCTACCCCTCCGGGGATAAAAGGCTATGTTATGTCTATATAAGTAAAAATCAATTTCCATTCGTTATTTCGCTAAAACTTGAGAACGGCTGAACCGATTTGACTAAGTTTGGTCTTGAAATGTTCATGGAAGTCCAGGGAGGGTTTAAAAGGAGATAATTTATTAATCAAAACATTGGGGAATTGGAGATGGTTATGGAGATGGGTTCTCCAGTTACCTCAGTTACACGACGAAACATAATACAAGCGTTGTTTCACGTCAGTTTCTTCTCAGGCCGTGGTATCACTCCGGTCGAGCCGGCCCATGTCTATTTAATTACACCATGTTAAAAGGGTTTATTTGCCTTATTATGCAATTAATAAATATACAATATATTTTGTTTATTATTAGCATTTAATTCATACCTTATAATGACATATTCTGTATAATTTATACATGTATATTATTATTATTAATTTATATACAATAATTTTTAATCTAATTTAATGTACTTAATTTATTTAATTTACACTGGCTGAACTAATATTAAAATTGTGTAATACAACCATATTATTCTAATATGTTTCCTTTCTTTTGGTCTGCTAAAAATGTATGTACATATACATATTTTAAATGATTTCACAAATCAAAAGATTCCTTGGTTTCTTTCAATTATAGAACACCATTTTATTAGAGTGATTTAGTCCTATTAAGTTTAGGAAATAATATATTTCCCGCAAGACATATGCATTTTGCCATATTATCATTTGTTCAAACTATATGTTTATCATCAACAGCCTATAAGCAGCCACTGTTGACCAAAGGCCTTTTCTCACATAGAGAAGGGTTGAGCATTAATCACCACGCTTGCTCAATGTGGGTTGGCGATTTTAAACTTATAATTAGATACTATAAAGGTTGCTAACGTTTTCCTTCGCTATTTGTCAATGGTGTCTAGATAATCTTAGAAATTACATATAACTCGGAAAAGTCACATTGGTACTTCTCGTTAGTAGGTTTCAATTCCGCACTCTCATACATGAGAAGCATCTTAAACCTTCGGACCACCACGACATTGTTAACGGCGAAATGTTGCTGTTGTAGTTCTAAATTCAATATCAAATCAGTATATATTGTAAGTTTAAAACAAATGTATGTTAATGTTTTATTTACAGTGAGTCTAGTAAATTCATTAAAATATAATCGTCGAATATGTATAGCAGTTTAATTTCTATTTGCTTATTATAATTTATGTTAGCCAACAAGTAATGTATTGTTTGTCCTCTAACTTAATATTTACTAAACATAAACTTAAAATTAACTATTTATAAATGTATAATATAATTTAAAGCATCGATTGATTGATATTTTAGAACTAATTCCTCCTTTCTAAGCTGACGAGGGAACCAGAGACTGGTTTTAGCAAGAAGTCTATCTTTAACTTCAGGTCTGTGATGTCAGCTTTGATCTTGAACCGTCGTAGTACGTGTGATAGCGTGGTCTTCATTGATAGTGTGGCGAATGTCCTTCCTGTAAAGATAAGGTGGTATTTTGAGACTTTAATCTTTAAAATTATGTAACATAGATAGAGAATTGTATTGTGAACCTGATTGAAATAGAGTAACCCTCTTGTCTGTTCACAGTTGCGGCCATCATGTGTTTATACCGGGAGCCGATGTTTCAACAGATAAGAGGCTATGGAGTTTCTTGCTCGTTCTTCTATATAGGAATCTACACCTTGGAATGAGTAAATAGCTTCACTTTTAATTTTTTTTTGACATTCAAAATTGCATTTCTTGTCTAATTTAAATAAATGATTTTGACTTTGACTTTAATAAGTTTTAGGTGGTGCTATTTTTCTAACGTTTTCTAAATATAATTAGTCTTTTAGAGTGAGCCGAATAAGAAACTAGCTACGATCCACGGCTTCGTACGCGTGGTCCTAAGAAAAAAAGTGTTTGTATCTCTCTCTAGCATCCTTATTATCTTTAGATATAATCGTACCATGGAATCACAAACTCTCCGAAATGTATCCGGTAAAATATTGAAACTCTTGCAACCTTACGCCTGTGTTCGAGGCTTTGACTGAATAAATAAACTATTACTATTTTTCTTTTTGATATTGTATTAATGTAGATCGTAGTAATATTTACTAAAACCTCAATGACTTCAAGAACCTTATTAGAGAGCTGATTGCAGGGAAGGTAACGTACAACCGACCGATCTAAATGCTACTTCTGGGACAGGGCTCCCTGGGACGTTTCTCAGTTTGTCTACAAGTTCAGTATTAACAAAAAAATGGAATTTATACATACCCATGCAAGCTCTCTTTCCAATACTGAAACCAGCGAACATGTTAGGGTTAGGGGCGTTGTTGGGATCCAACCAGCGCTCAGGTTTGAACTCCCTCACGTCAGGCCCCCAGCTCTCATGGTAGTGGATGCCGTAGATCAACAGCGCACATTGACTGCCAGCGCGCATTGTGTAGTTTTCTGGGAAAATAAGTAATTATTGAAATATTTAAATTGTATAGGAAAAATGCTGCCTCGTTGGCCGAGTGTTCCCAAGCGTGGCTGCTGGGCAAGGGCTCTCGGGTTTGATTCCCGGGTCGGCCAAAGTATTACTGGATTTCTTTTTTAAATTCTCATTTATAGCACGAAATCTGGAATTATGCCTGGTATATGGCAATAGGCTAACCACCCTATTACATGGGACTCATAACATACATAGTGAAAAGTGGGTGCTATATTGTGCAGAGGCATTAAGTACCGTAATGTTCACCTCTGTCTACCCAGTCGGCGATAAAAGGCATGATGTTATGTTGTATAGGAAAAATAGTCAAATCCTTAAAAGATATGATTGTGACGTGATTTAGACTACGGATTCGCAGTGAAACGACGAGAAACATCGCTTGGTTATATTGGTTACTTAAAACATCTATTAAAGCTGTTTTGTAACTATAGCATTAATTATAAAAAAACTTTTACCATTTATAAAGGTATTTTGAACTAGATATTTTTCTTTTAGCGTGTAAAGTCGCCGCGTTGCGAGTCGTGGAATCAGCTGCACATGAATATGAGCCGCTAGCATGGCTTGAAACTAGTCGAGTTCCTCGTCAAACAGTTACGTGAGTAAGCCGAATACATAATAATAATTAACACTTATGTAGTACTTACTCAGTTGAACATCCTTGTCGACATATCGTAATCCTACAGGGCCAGTAGGGATCAGTCTTAGAGTCTCCTTGATCACAGCGTCAGTGTACACCATTCTGGGCAAGTCATCCTTCGTGACGTCACGGTCTGTGCCTTCGAATATTTCTTCTAATCTGTAAAGGTGGAAATAGAAAGGTAAGATGAGGTTGAATGAAGGTGAAGGTTCATTTGTTTTTTTATTGATGGACTTTATAAGTACTTAGGACCGAAAAATACGCATCAATCAACAATTGAGACATGGGTAAAAATTGTCTATAAGGAGAGAAACTCAAGGTATGCTTTCAAAAGGCAGACAATTTGTAAGTCCTCTAATGTAGGATATCTGGTATTGGTTCTGGGCAGGCGTGGGAGAGCTATGCTTCGTAACGAATGGGCCGGCTCAACCGGAGTGATACCACGGCCTCACAGAAGACCGATGCGAAACAACGCTTGCGTTGTATTTCGTCGTGTGAGTGAGGTTACTGGAGGTCCAATTACCCCTTCCCCCTTTTCCCAATTCCTGAATCCCCAACAATCCTAAAATTTCTAATTCCAAAAGGCTGGTAACGTACTTGTATCGCCTCTGGTGTTCCAGGTGTCCATAGGCGACGCCGATTGCTTACCGTTAGGTGAACCGCCTGCTCGGTTACCGGTTTATCCCATTAAAAAAATGGGCGGGACTAACCATAAAGTGATTCGTCTGATCAATCCCTTAAAAATCCTAGTCCAAATAGAATCCTTACTATTATAAATGGGAAAGTGAGTTTGTTTGTTTGTTTGTTTCGCTTTCACGCCGTAACTTCTAAACCGACTGCTTTGAATTTTTGCAGACGTAAAATTAGAAGTGCGGATTAAATAATAGGGTACTTTTTATTCCGGAAAATTTTGGTATTTCTGAGAGAAAACAAAAGAATTGGTATAGTTGGCGCTATGTGTATTGGAATAGGCTACTTTTATCCTTTTGTGACGCGAGCGAAGCTGCGGGTAAAGGTAGTATTTCATAACTTAATGACCAAACATTAAAATAAAAAATAGGGGATTGATAATAAACACTCACTCTCGGTACATCTTCTCTTGTGCCTCAGGGTACGTTCCCAACATCATCATGATATAAGCGAGTAAGCAAGAAGTAGTGTCATATGAAGCTACTATAGCGGTGTCCACCTCTTCCCTGATCTCCTTGTCCGTGAGAGTATTTTCTTCTGCCAATTCCAGTAGAAGGTCCATCAGGGCTTTGCATTTGATACCTGGAAAACCATTTTAGGATTTAGAATCGTAAGTATGTTTTGATATGATTGAAATTCAAATGAGAAAAATAATTTTAGGATGATTAAAAAGTTATGTGGCATGACCTGAAGATGAACGCTTGCCTTTTTTGGAAGTACTAGAATTTGATTCAATTAGTCTAACGTCTGCCTCCCATAGGGGTAGGCCGAAACTATGGAACGTCATTTGCTACGATTCTTACATAGACACATTACATATTTCTTTCGCTTCATCAACAGTCATCAGTCTTTTCATGCATGCTCGTCAGTTAAGGTTAATGTAATTATTTTTTATATTTTTTTTACCTGTGCGTTGCCGCTGTGCTTCCCATTCTTCTCTGGGTAGACTTTGCATTTGTTCCTTTTTCCTTTTGATGACCTGAAATACAATTAAAAAGAAATGATAAATTAAATGCCTACTATATCTCCTTTGAGTATCAAGTATTAACTCATTGCCTCCAGACAGGACAGATGTACCAGAATACTCTGTTGATGTTATCTACTAATAGCTCCTGAATCTAGAAGCAGTATCGTACCAGAATATAGAAATCATAACATAAGCAGAGAAAAGAGAGTGGATAACATAGTAACTCGTGAAAAATTTAATCTTTGCCTTTAACAGTATAAAATTCAGATTTATTGATTACTTACAGCTGTAGACATAGCATTCAGAACTTTGACTACTTCATCCTGCTTCTTCCTGAGTTCCGTGAAGCTGTAGATAAGGTCACTCTGCAGCCAGAAGTTGGAGAACCTCATTGCAATGATGTTCAGGATCTGGTCAACGGCTGCCATGTAAAGCTTGTTGAAGTCCTTGTCTTCGTCTGCTGTGATTCCGAAGGCAGTCACTGGAACAATAAGAATAAGAAGAATAAGTTACCCTTTGTTTAGTAGTCAACATGTTGTTATCTATATAAATAAAAATGAATTGCCGTTCTTGAGTCTTAAACTCGGTAACGTCTGAACCGATTTGGCTATTTTTGGTTTTAAGTGTTCGTGGAAGTCTGGGGAAGGTAGGTATTAAAAATAGAAAAAAAAATTGAGGCGGTATATCAAGGTTGCCGGGTCAGCTAGTTATGAATAAAATTGGCATACGTACTATTTTCTCAAAAAGTCGTATTATTTGAAGCATAGGCACGTAAATCGCAAAATCGTAATAATTATGCAAAAATATTTTTTAATTCTACATAGTGTCTTTGTGAAGCGTGGGTGTACAACACCTTTGATATTTCAAATTCGGTAATTGCTGTTTATCGAAAGTAATAGAAGAAAATAATTTACTACACTTGTTGTGATACTCACAGCATACTGTCTCCAAAGCGATATGTTTCAACGAGGCAAGATGGTCGAATTTCCCGCGTCCAACTTCAGCGTCGAAATGGTTAACTTGACGTCTGGCTTGAATGTTGAACACTCCTAAGAAACTGTGCAGCACTTGTAGACTGAATGCTGGGTTCAGGAGCTTACGATGTCTCTTCCACGTGGGACCTGATGAAAGAAAATGTACTTTATGTTAGAGTGTGTAAGTTTTTAATGGAATAGTTGGCAGACAAGAGGACGGTTCGCCCGTAAGCAATTAATACCGTTCATGGAGAACATTTCATGATTCGAGGAGTGCTTGACTATTTAGAGAACAGAGAGTGAAGTTACTGAAGAGACTGCCTCGTTGGCCGAGTGGTCGCAAGTGCGACTGCCAGACTGCTGAAAAAATTCTCAGTAGTAGCACGGAGTCTGGAAATGTGCCCGGTATATGGCAATAAGCTCACCCTCTATTAAATGGGACTCATTACATAAATAGTGAAAAGTGGGTGTTACATTGTACAGTGTCATAATGTACACCTCTGCCTACCCCTTCGGGGGTAAAAGGCGTGATGTTATGTTATGTTATGTAGAGTGAAGTTCAGTACGATCGGAAAAGGAGGATCTACCGACCAGGCGAGGTGATTGTGTGTGGCGGGCTTTCTTCCCAACAGTAATTGTTCGTTGGGATTTTCTGTCCATGTTTGTTCGCATATAAACTTCACATGATTTTTTATTTATTTATTTATTCAGCTAAAGATACATGCATGTTACTTAATTCTAAACATTGCCAAACTGTTCAACAGTTTGTTGGCAAAATTCTCTTAATTTTCATCTTTATACACGTATACAATTTACTATTAGTAGGTTTTTTTTTACGGCAGGCACACGTCACTATAATACAGTACATCACTATAATACATACAGTACATGGAATATCATTTTACAACAATGCTTCCCTTAGTCTTAGTATGTGTGATTTGTGTTGTCATGTCGGTTTGCTCGTCGATAGGCTATGTTCATTTTCTGACTTCTCTCATTTGTCTATGTGTCATGTGCCACCAGAACTAGTTCAATGCCCGAATACTGAAAAGCCACTCAATTTTAATATTGTTCCGTCACTAGAAATTCAATGTAAAATCACAGAGACGGCACGATGTTTAAGAACAACTTAAAATTGAGTAAGCTTTCGGTATTAGCTCATAATCAAGAGCAGTATATTTTTTACGCCATCTTTTAAAAGCAGTTGAGCAATGTTTATCGCCGGGTATTGCACCAAAGAATATTGGTGTAGGTACTTGCTATGTTTCATTAGATTGGTATTCTCATAGATAAAATTGAATAAGTAAAAATAATTTGACGTATATTGTTTTGTTATTTTGTTGTAATTTGATGTATATTACAATTGTTTGTTGTAAATATAATAATGTGATGGTGACCCGGAGGTTTAAGGTCGGGAGGTCGGCACACCGGAACGTAGATCTACACGAGACACATTGTATTTTCTATTGTGTCTTATATACTGATACTCCAGGGGTTAAGACATTCACTTATTGTATACATGCATGAGGGTGCGGGTTCAAAACCTACCAACGGCGAGTACTAGTGTGACTTTTTCCGAGTTATATGTACTTTCTAAGATTATTTAGACACCACTGACAAACGGGGAAAGAAAACATTGTGAGAAAACCTGGGCTTATCCTTACTAATACATATTATAAATCGGAAAGTGAGTTTGTTTGTTTGTTTCTTCCACTTTCGCGCCGTAACTACTAAACCGATTGCTTTGAATTTTTGCAGACGTGAAGTTAGAAGTCTGGATTAAATAATAGGGTACTTTTTATCCCGGAAAAATTTGTATTCTCGAGGAAAAACGAAATTATTGGTATAGATGGCGCTGTGTGTATTGGTATATGTCACATAGGCAACTTTTTATCCTTTTGTGACGCGAGCGAAGCCGCGGGTAAAAGCTAGTAATTTATAATTATAAGTTTGAAATCGGCAACCCGCATTGAGTAACGTGGTCATGTCTTTTCACCAAGACGAGACCTTTGGTCAGCAGTGCCCACTTACAGGCGTTTGATGATGATGATGTAAAAATAAAACTTGTATTTAGCGCAGTTAGGTAATTTCCCATCCATTTACTTTAATGACATTTAGGTATTAAGGTAATTCCAAAATTCGGGTGGAATTTCCATTGTAATAGGGTGGAATTAATAATTCTGACTTTTGGACATAACAAAATTCCTAGTTTTAACGGACAGACTGATGGACAACTAAAGGCAAACCTTTAATTTTATTTCTCGACCTTGGATTTTCCGTAACTAATATTAATAATGCCACTGCACGAGTTTCATGACCATTAACGTTTTCGAAAACTGGTTATTTTATTACATTTTTATTGCAATACTGTTTTTACTGAGCTGCATATCAATGATTTAAGTATAATTAACACAGCTATATATTTCATTTTACTTACAATTTCCTTATTGGTCTTTTGGTATGGAATTTCAAGCTTCGATCAGAGATCAGACAAATGATTACAATTTACAACAAATACAGAAAAAAATGTACTTAAGTCCATTCATAGAACAAATTGTTGAATACAATATAAGTATCTAATTTTATAATATACTAGCAGCATTATCTAATTTAACCGCAGCATTGCCCGAATATTCCTGTTTTATCCCATGGTAGAATTTAAACGGGATAAACAGTATTCTATCACTGTATTCAGCCCGTAACCTGCCTTCAAATTCCACTAAAATTTGTTCAGTAGTTTCAGCGTGATTGACGGACACACATCCAAACATCCACAAACAAACTTTCACATTTGTTTTTCTTATCATAACATACATGTTTCATTGTTTTTCCTAATTTATTTTTCCTAATAAATTTGCATTTCCTAACCTTATTATAGGACAATATATCGAGTAAAGATGAGAGATTTTCCTCAATATGAGCGACTATTCTCCGCATTATATTTAACTCGATTTTGTATAAATATTTATGACAAATATTAAGAGTCGAATCTTAATTAGAAACTAGAAATGTTGAATATTTAATAAAAATGAACATGATTTCGTCGTCTATCTAATCCGGGTGGAAACAGAATTAAAAATTAAATTATATTAAAAATATTAAATTTAAAGAAAAATGTGCCTAAGAATTTGACGTGTATACTGATATTATAATAGGGTTTTTTTTAAGGGGCGAAAATCATCGAATGGCCGCTCCCGCCTGGGTGAGACGGGAGGGAGTGTCAGACTCTTACTGACTAAACACCACCCCGTTCCTTCTCCTGCACGTCGAGCCGGAGCCCCGGTTACCCGTTAGGTTCTCCGCGACATTATAATAGGGTAGGTGCTTAATTTTTATTTTAATGTCCGTCTGGTAGATTATTTTGAATCATTAGACACGTATTTTTAATTGTCTTACAGAAACGAATACTTTCGACGATATATTGATTTGAGATGTCGCTTGACGTCAATTCTTTGTACATTTTATACGTAGAAATGACGTTTTAGCCCGCACTACTAAACTTTGATTTGTTTTATCTAAGTATTGTTTTATTATACGACCAAATAAAAAAATACGTGTCTAAAATTTTTTCATTACCTAACTTACGGATTAATTAGATTTTTAATTTTCATACCCTGTCATTATCCCTATTACAAGAGTATAAATATTTGTCTGTCTTGCAGTCACATCGCGTTGGAATGTTTCTAGGGTAAGATTTTTGCGGTTGGATATATGAGGCCAGTTAGTTATAGAAGCCTCTTAGCAACTGGGTACTTTCCTTTATCAACAATAAATAATTTCGACTGTTCAATACAATAAAACATAAAAAAATAATCACACTTTCATTAATTGATTTTATGACCAACTTAAGTTTAGTATTATTCTAGCAAATTTTTAAGAAATAAGTTACTGTTTGACGCTATGAAAACGTGACGTCATAATACACAATTTCGTTCAATACTCATAGAAAACTGTCGCTTTTGACAGTTCGAAAAAAGTATTGAATTTGACTAGTTGGCAAGTACCCAATCACACGGACATGGGAATCGTATCAATACATATCACAGTGGGAAGTTGATGTTTTCAGAAAATGGAAAAAGTAACCATGTACCTATGTCCTTAAAGTGAAATTTCATTAAATTCAAATTGATACTAGTTTCTCATAGAACTAATTTAGGTATTTATTAGTATACATTTTGCAATACTCTGTAGTAATTTGTTAACAAATAGTTGCGTCAAGTTCGCCAAAAATAGAATATGTAATATGATATATCACCTATGAAAATTAATTGAGGAAATGTATTACGAAAAGGCTAATAAAGCTTATTGCTTTATTTCAATGTTCCGGAAATTCTTCATGAGAGGAGTCGGGTCTTCTCGTCTTTTTAAATTATTTTAAACCTCTATGATAAGAGTGCCATAACATGAAGGCAGTTGATGTTTATGTTTTACTGTTTGTTCCTAACAAAATAACCCATTAATGCCAGAATACTGAAACGTTACTCAATTTTAAGTCGTGCTCAAATATCGTGCCATCTCTGTCATTTTACAAAGAAATTGTAGAGATAGAACTATACTTAAGCACGACTTAAAATTGAGGAGCGTTTCAGTATTCCGACATAAGCGGTTTAGGTATTATAATAAAATGTAAATTACCTGAAGCTAAGACAAGTCCTTCGCCCATCCAGGGTTTTCCGAAGTCGTACGCGAAGTGTTTGTGCAAACACGCATTAGCTGCCGTCACGCTGTCTTCTGGGTCAGCAATTACTGGAATACATAAATATATATAATTAATTAATAGTCTCATAATAGATCATGGTGGCCAATCTGCATAAATAGATTAGTCCATATTGCAGGAGATATTATAGTGCACAAGTGTGTGCGCAAACATAGGGGACTCTCTAAATTCCATCACACTATTAACCTTCGACAAACAAGGTTGGAATATTTCGACCCCTAAACTTTTAAATCGATTTGGTTGCATTTTTTTTAAGGGGGGAAAATCTTCGAATGGCTGCTCCCGCCTGGGTGAGGCGGGAGGGAGTGTCAGACTCTTACTGACTAAAAACCACCCCGTTCCTTCTCCTGCACATCGAGCCCAGGTAACCCGTTAGTTTTTCCGCGACATTTAGTTGCATATTAGAACGTGATCAAATGACTTGATTT